AGATCCAGTTCTTCCAGAACCTAGAACAGAAACTAAGCAAGGTTAAGATTCATGTGGAAATATTTAAACTATTTCTTTTTAACCAGATAAACCCAGTTATTTTAAGCTATAACTTTGAGGTAAAGATTAATAATTTTGGTAAACTAGAGTAAAGCCTCATGTCTTACTAAGTAATAACTTCCACAGTCTTTATTCTGAGAGGAAACAGAGCCTCTGGGGTCTAAAGAGATGATAATCTTCAGTGCAGACTGAGTCATTCCCTCTCCTTGCAGATGCACTTGTGGGCAGCCATGAACTTCTCATCTCCCTTTATTTCAGCTTCTTATAATGCCAGTGGTCAGTTGGATAGAGATAGCACCTGAAATGGTTTTGTGTCATTTATGTAGCACTGGTTTTCCTAAGTGGCATCTGGGGTTCTCCCTGGGGTCTCCTCCCCATAGTCCCGAGGAAAAAGCATAAGCTTCATTCAGACCCACGGTTCTAGACTTGCGTTCCAGCTGTGCTACGTCTGACTGAGTGATGTTGCTAAGCTACTCCTCTCTCTGAGTCTCCGTCCTTGTTTATAAAATAGGGCCAATAAAACCCATGTCACACATTTATTGTCAGGATTGAATTGAATAATATATGAAAACCACCCAGGCAAACAATCAACATCCCTTTTTCCCTCCTTCAAAGAGTATGTCTTAAAAACAAACACACTCTTCAGAGAATGTTTCTGAGAAACACTTGAAAATTATCAGATAAAATTACTAGAAAATACTCACTGAGAGGATATTGGGGACAATTTTGTATGTACATTTCAGCATCCGTGACTAAAAATAACAAGCTTAAATGCTTTAGATGAGGAAATTCCCTTTTTTTTTTTCCCCCCCAGAGGGCTAAGACACATTTAAATGGAAGTGTGATGCAGGGAAAGAAAGAAAACCAAGCTGCTAAGAGCATTCAGGATGTGGTGAGAAACACTGAAGAAGTAAAGGCATCAGAACATGGTGGTTAAGAACCCACCGCCGTGGCAAAGCTGTCTGAGGGAAAATCTTGGCTCTTGTGCTCTCTGGCTGTGTGACTGGGCAATTTGGGTAATTTTCCCATGCCTCAGCTTCCTCACCTGTGCAGTTGGGCAAATAACTGCAGGGATGCAGGGATGAAAGGAGATAGTGTTGGGAGAGTTTCTTGGAGAAGTGCTTAGCACAGAGTTCATGCTCAGGAAGTGGTCACTGTTGTCAGGAAGAACTTGACACCAGAAATGATTTTTAACCTTTTTGCCCTTATCTCTGAAAAATTATCACTTTCTATTTATTGTATTATGAAAAGGGTTCAAGATATGAAGGCACATTTCACAAATCATTTCAGGCTGCTTTCTGGTTCTAGTTCTAATTGCAACTCGATTTAATCAGAATGATATAGTCCTTTTATTACTAGAAGAAACCTTAGAGATTGTCCACTCTAATTCCCTCATTTTATAGATGTGAAAACTGTGAGGCCCAAGGAAGTTGTTACTCACTAAAGGCATATTACTTGAAATGAATCAACAACAACAACAATTAAAAAAAAAAAAAAAACTGGGATTGAATCTGGATTCTCCTG